TCTTTTTGCTATGTGCATAAAGTAAGCTATATGGAAAATAATTTTGGGAACTACTGATGGTGTACCGGAAAAGGGTTAAACTATGATTTTCAAAAAGTTAAACTCTTTTACGAATTTGTGAGATTACTGGACTATGATTTGTACCTATTGTGATTTTATGGAAATGTTGGGACACACTGAGCCTAGCTCACCTTTTGAAAATGTTTTCCCCTTTCAGATATTGTTGGTTAGATACATTGGTTCGAGCACTTGGAGGATCAACATATCTCTTGAAGTAAATCAGATTGTAATGTTTTTATCTGGTAAGTTGACTTTATTTTGGTGACATGGACCTTATTTTAAAATATCGGATTTTATAATGATAACTCTTTTGCTAATACTGCTCGGTTTATTGTGATATTGAATTTGAAGACATGTTTTAAATTAAATTATTATTTATTGGTACTATATTTACGAGTTGGATTTTGATAGTATAATTTGTTTATAATTTCATGTTATTTATAATGTGATTTTATATTGATGGAATAACGGTTTCGAAAAATGTCTTTAATAATCATAATGTGATCCACTAGACTTAGTCGAAACGCATAGGCCGGGTCTAGGGGGTGACAAATTTTATAAAAAATATACAAATATATATTTAATTATTTTTTGTTCTCGGATGAAGCAAAAACAATTTAATCTTTAATTAAGTAATTATATAAATTAAATATAAAATCGGTGACTTCTAAACAAATAAATAGACTAGTTGAATGGTTGGATGCTAATTTTCTTGGAGAGATCTACGTCCGAGTAGGGCTGTAAATGAGACGAGACAGATCACGAGCTATCGACTCGATAAATACTCGGATCGAATGGACTTGACTCGAGCTTGAGCTCAACTCGAGTTCTTAACGAGCCGAATCAAGATACTTGATATTCGACTCGGAAAGCTCGTGAGCAACTTAAAAATATAATATATTAAGATTTTATTTTAAAAAATAAATTATTAATAATATTAATATTTATGTACTGATTTTTTTAATTAAGTAAGATTTTCATGTATTTAAAGTTCAGGTTCGAGTTTAAGGCTTCAATCGAGTTAAGTTTAAGAATTTTTTTTCCATTTCGAGCTGCTCACGAGCTTCAGTTCAGGATTTCGAGTTCAAGTCGAGCTTGAAAATTTTAAGCTAGCGAGTTTTCGAGTTGAGTCGAGTTCAGCAATACTCGAACTCGACTCGGCTCGTTTACACCTCTAGGTCCGAGTCTTATTTTTTAGGGTAAACTACAAGTTTAGTATCTAAACTATAAGTTTTAGTTCGTTTTAGTATCTAAACTTTTTATTTATTTTCAAGAACATACCTAAAGTTTAGTTTTTATTTCATTTTAGTACTCCATCGTTAAAAACTTAAAGGACGGGCTCGCTAATTGTCGTATTTGTTGCCCAATGAAGCTCAAACTTTCTAGCCTGTGCTTTTTTTGACCCCATAAACGCAATTTCAGCCTCCGTTTCACCAGGACCTCGATCTCCCCAAATCGACGATGAACTCTTTGCTTTCTTCATCCTATGATCTCCATGGTCCACCTTCGATGGGCCTAAAAATTGGACTATGTTGATCGACTCGTCATTCTCCATGGTCCACCGTTCTGATTGATCGTTCGTCCACCAGAGCTATGCCACGTTAGCCCGTCCGTTAAGTTTTTAACGACGAGATACTAAAATGAAACAAAAACTAAACGTTGGGTATGATTTTGAAAAATGAAAGTTTAGGTACTAAAATGGACTAAAACTGATAGTTCAGGTACTAAATGCTTAGTTTATCCTATTTTCTAATTATAATTTATTGTTTTATGATTCTAATACAATATTTTTTAATGGTTTGTGATGATTACAATATAATATTAGTTCATAATTTTCTTAACCAACTGACAACGCACACTTACTCTGAGATGAAGTTGCTCAAACCCAAGACCTCTAGGGAGAACATCATTCCCTCGTTAATGTGAAAATTAAAAAATATATATTTAAAAATACCATGTTGGTATAACCATTAATTTTTAACGACGGATAACCAAAATTAAACTAAAACGCAATGTTAGGCATGAATTTGAATAAAAAAATAATTTGGTGACGAAAATGGAACAAAAGTGGTAGATGGGATAGTAAACGTGTAGTTTTACCCTCGTTATATTATTGTATCATTAAATAACTAAATTTAAAATTAAAATCGCCATGATTAAATATCTAGAACATGGATAATTAATAATTTAATTCAAATAATAAAATAATTAATACACTAAAATAATATAAATACAACATAGATATATAAAAAATTAAAATATATAAAAAGAACTATTAACCTATAAAAATTGTATAAATTAATATTTTTTAGCACAAAAGCACTACATATATATTGAATACATTAAATTTTATTTAAACTAAATCACAAGAATAAATTATTCAAAATATATTATAAACTTATATATACATGGATATATATTTTTAAAAGTAAGCTACAATGTTAAAGTATAAAATATGTAAATAAAATAAATACAAAAAATTGAAATAAAGTAAAAATAATTAACAAAAACTCAATTGTAAGATTTTATTTACTTAAAGGTATAATGTCAAAATTAACCTCCAATATTGATCAAAATGGTCATTTTGACATATATTTTTTTTCTAAAACATTTTAGCTTCGAACGTTTTATTTTAGGACAAAAACGCCTATAACATTTGACAGGATAATTACTTTGACAATTATTCTTTTTTTCTTGAACATTTAGCTCTCAAAGTTTTAATTTTAGATAAAAATGCTCATATTTTAGAGCGTTAATCGTGTGTTAACTACAATTTTCATACATAAAGGGGCCTTTACCCTAAAATAAAACAGTTGAGGCCAAAACGCTTCCAAAAAAAGGTGCGATAATGACATTTTAGTAAACGTTGGAGGCTAATTTTGGTAAATTTCTTATTTAAATACCTAAAAAGAAAGAAATTACTTAATCCCAAAAAAGATTAAGCCTAAATTTGGCACGAACCAAGTGACATCGGTATTAAAAGAATTGTTATTATTCCGTCTCGAGTTCATGCACCAAGAACGTCAGGGGTACGAGCTTTCAATGTCAAATGGTTAAAAGTTTTATTTAAATAAATATTATCTTATACAAGCCTCATATTAATAAAAAAAAAGAAATTGATTATTCTAATCTAATTAAAAGTCTTAATAACCACTACTAATTATGCCTCTTAAATTACAATTTTTCCATTCACTTAGTAGTCTACAAATCATCCCGTCCCAAATCAAAATCCAACCATCATATTGGATTATGCTTTTCATTCAGATTATTATTTTAATACTTCTCTCTACTGGAATTTCACCCAAGCTCTTCTTGCTTTAGGATTTTAGTTTTGCCCTTTGCCCATTGTCATGTCAAAGTAAATTGGTCAAATAGCCATAATTATCCAACTTCTGCCCCCCCCCCCCCCCAATTTAAGCTTGGTACCCACCTCTTGATTTATTTAATAATGCAAATTTTTTCCTCACCTTTGTTGGAATAACCAAACCAATATGAGCCAACTAAAACTCAAATTTAATAATTTTGAATATCAGGAAAAAACATAAATAAAAGTATTTAAAATGAATCCAATTTAATCTGACCCGGTATTCTTTTGGGCTTACATGAAATTTTTATAATTTAAAGAATATTTTCCACTTAAATAACGCGTTCACATTACTAATTTTAATGTGTGAAATATATTATTTGTGTGCTCCAATTTTGTGTTTATGCGGCTTTTATGCTGCTTGATTAAAAAGAAAATACATCTATTTTTTAGAATTTTTAAATTGATGTGACACATTCCTAACTATATGAATACTATTCTATACATACGAATGAAATTAAAACTGTGATTTATGGATGAGAAATTTATAATTCCACAAACTGATTATTGAGACACCAATTTAAAGATAAACGAAATTTCAATTTTATTGATTTTTTTTTTCATTCATGATTATGTCAAAGATTAAATTCAGTTTTAAAGATTAGAATGTGAACCATCTTAGACTCTTCTTGCCTTAAAAATAGTTTAACAAGAAATGACAGTCGCTGAAACCCAAAATCTTTCACTTGGCCATTATTTAAAAAAAAAATCTGGCATGCATCCAGATGCTCATACATGAATATCAGAATATAAAATCTTCGAAAATAAAAAATAAAAATAAAGACTTAAGCATACCGATTTGAATATACTGTAACTGGGGTGTTAAAGTACCTGGTTCGAACTATTTGTCCCTTCAACCCTGTGTAAAATTACTGGATATTTTAGAAATAAATATCCAATTTTGTAGGTCGGGTATCCGGTCCATTATTTTTTATAGTTTTTTAATTGGGCCCAGATCACAAAAATACCCTTAATTAGATACCCTCCGATCTAGTACCATTTTTTTATTTTAAATTAAAATTTTCATTTATAATTTCAAAATCATTTCACTCTAACATTATAAATCTCTATTTTTCAAATTATTTCGCCTTAATATTTAACTTATTTCTTTTTAGTCTCCAATTATTTTAAATTTAATTATAATTTCATCATTTCATTTCATTTCATTTTTTGTATTTTTAAAATTTATTTTTAGATTATATAATTTAGATTGATAAATTTTATGTTTATGTAATATAAACTTTTAAATTTTAAATTTAATGTTTTTATAGAGATTTTAAAAAAATTAATATGAATTAAAAAAATAAAATAAAATAAACATTAATCGGGTACCTGCGATCTGAAAATGCAGATACCCGACTTACGAATACCCACCTTTACAGGCCAGGCCACAGGCAGAGTTTCGATGACCTGAAAGTCACGGGTACCCAGCATTTCGGATACCCAAAAATGCAGGTACCTGGATTTGAACACCTGTAACTGTACCCAAGACTCCACCTCACAAGTCATTGTACTGAAGCACATATTCTGGAGTCAATAGTAGTAATAAAACATTATGAAAATCAGAACAATGTAAAGTCGTGCGAGTGTTGTATGATACCGACCAACACACTCTCAAGTACATGATCTTTCCACTCGTCTATGGGGGCAATTTCTTCTGTCCGTAATGAAAAAAACACCAGTCGTACAGAATCTCATCATATGCTAATGCTATTCAATGATATCATAACAATGACTAATGCGAGGTTAGCTCATGGGAAGTTCAGCCAAACTCTTAGTGGATGCACCAAAACTATTGTAAACAGAAATCAAACTGAACAATCATACCCGACTGCCGGGGAGTATAGGTAGCAACGATTCTACAGTACAAATAGTCCCCACATGTCATCAGGTGATCCATTCTAACTCTTCAATTCAGAGTCCAAAGTAGCCGTCGGTTCATTGCAGGTGGTGCTAATCCCGGAATATCGCGGATGTCCTTGTTGTTTGGATTCACAATCTGAAAAAGAAAACCCAGTAATTGAGCATAGGTATAGAAAACATGTACAACTCGAAACGATAAATTAACACAGGCAGCTTTCAATCTGGAATTTCACTGGCAATCTAGAGAAAATGCTTTTAATCTTATACACAATCCACAATACAATATTAGTTCAGTGATCAATGTTGGAGCGAGGAAAACAATTGTACCTTCACAATTATGATGGCTATAACTCCAACGACAATAAGAAACAACAATGCCATAATGCACTTATCAGTAGCAATCTATTCACAAAAGGATAATAAAATTAGTAAATACAAGTTAACACGATACGGATCATAAGAATGAAAAGAGGTAGATGTTTCAGAGATTGACCTGCCTACCGATTTCTTTGACCAATTTAGATGCTTTCTGTATTGAGAAATGGATAGAATCCAGCTCATTAACTATCCTGCTCATTTGTTCAGTCTAGATATGATAGAAATAACATGGCTTAGTTTGAATATCGCTGTATAATCTCAAAAGATTAATACAATCTAAGTGTAAAACACTTGATGACCATGATGTTGATAATTCTTAATGCTTTTAAGTTGTGTACCTGAGCCTTGAGAGCTGCAGCAGTTTCTGATCCAACATCAACAGTATCTTGAACAACCTAATATTAAAAAGGGTCAGGCAAAATTAGTCTATCATTCTCAATAGCCCATCCATCGAGACGTGATAATGAAGGAAGGAATTAATACAAATCGTTGTACATCCCAAGACTTTTGCATTTTGTTGATTTTAAGTTTAATATAGAAAGAATATAGAAGGACATTTCAAGATCTAAGGATCTGAATGTACAACCAATTATTTCTCTCTACAGAAAATGTACGGGCTGTCATATAATCAGATGCAGAAAAAGTTTTGATACCAACCTTCTTAGCCCTGTCAATGGCTTGATCAGTCTGATCCATCATTTGGTTTCCTCTATCCATTAGCTGTTGATTTGTCATAGCTGCAGAACATACAGTTTGTCTCAGAAGAAGTTCAAAATTGAAGAAAAATATGATACCTACAAATCATTTCCAGTACATTCCAACAGCATCCCAAAAATCAATGTAAAGGAGTCAGAATTGGATCAGGCAGAACAGTAGAACAAAGCTTCATAGTAAGATTATTTCTGGAAATTCATGCTGCCATACCAACAGAATATATTAACCATTAGATACAACTCTGATCAACGCTCAAGTAGTTCCTCATAGCAAAGTTTACACTATTCCTTCCCAGTTTGACAAACACAAAATTACAAAAACAAATAGCTTGACTTTATTTATAAAGAGGAAAATAATGCTGAATCAAGTGATCAGAGGTTTCTTTGACAAGCTTCTCATCCCTCGTCAAATTATTGTGTTTGACAACATATATTCTAGCAATAGCACAAAATTACTGGCACATCTTACAGCCACTATCATTGGACAATCACTCTAAAATAAACGAGAAACTGAGAATTGTTAAGGCATGCGTAAAATTAAAAAGGAAAATAAAAGAGGCAAACAATGTTTGGCGTGAATTGATGCATCTGTGTATATTGTCAATTTCAGAAAGAAACACTGATTGGTGAAGAGCAATGTCTACCTAAGTAACTATAATAAACACATTTTAATTTTCAACTTGAACTTCACATCAGGTATAATAAGAAACTGATATACTTACATGAAGCTAGCAAGACATTTTCTTCCCCAAAGCCTTCACTAGGCCCATCAAAGAGATCAACTCGTTTGTTGTTCTCAAGATTGCTTTGATGTCTGTAACATAAGAAAAACAATGTCAGACTCAGACCAAGCCACATTACACATCAACAAAAGAACCAAACATTTAACAAAAAGTAGCAATTATGATAGGAATGAATTTATTATTGAATAATATCTATAGTAATTGCCTTTACAAATGACCAGTTTAAATCAATAACAACTTTAATTTAGTAGCACAAGATCACAAGGATGACCAAAAGAAAAGCTCCATCAATAACAACTTTAGTCTAGTAGCACAAGATCACAAAATTGATCAAAAGAAAAGCTTAAAACAGAAAGAAGGGAGAATTTGGAAATAGGGAAAGGAGCCTGTGATCCAGATAAAAGGGATAAACTCAATCAATATGAAATAAGAATGATTTATACAACTAGTAAGAGCATGATTCATGAACATGAATAAAGTTATCCCTTCATTTCACAAGAAACAAAATGGATAAGTTCTACTACTTACTGCTTCTTAAGGGCAACGTATGAATTCAACTCCTTGATCTGCAAGAGAATCCCATAAGGTTGAGAAAACTTTGAACATAAGTTGAGTATCTAACTTAAAAAATGTAAAAGAGAAAATAAAATGAAAGTTCTAAAGCACCATTGACTGCTTCTTTTCGTTCAGCATTTTGCGGGTGTTTGCATCATTTCTACTCTCTGTTTCCTTAACTTCCTTATCGAATTCTTTGATGAGCCTGAAAAGAACAAGGTGGAAACTATTTTGATTCCAACTGATGGGAAAACAGTTTTAAATAACCACACAACAACCAACAGTATGGTAGACCAATTTCTTACAACCTTAAATTCTTAGTTAAGAAACAACACAATAACAGATGGGTTTTCTAGTTCGTTTTCTTTTCTTTCCTTTTTTTTATAAAAAAAATAGTGAATAAACCAAAGCTTTATCATTGAGATTTATTCAAACTAAAGGTAGAGAGGCTTTCATAAACATAATGCGAGTCTCGTCACTGTTTTACTTCTTCACCATACAATTATTCAGGAAAACAAAAAGGAGAAGTTTCGAGGATGAATCTGAAATACCTCTTACACTCTCTCATCTTGTCGGTAAGCTCTTCCAATTGCCTACTCTGCCTATTAACATCCTTAATCTTCTCCAGTTTCTGGAATCCATTTCTGCAATAAAAAATACAACAGCAGTTTAAAAAACGTGGGAAAAAATCGTAATCGATATAAAATCCACAATGCCTAAGCTCAAGTTACTTCAAATAGAGATTTACGAAAGAAAGCAGAAGTTTACATCATAACAATCTGATCGGAATCAACATTGCAGAGTCAACGAAAGAAATATAAGAATTAAAATCTTACGATAAAGCTCGAAAAATGTCGGCGATTTGTCCTTCGATATCCGCTAGCTCTTCGCTGACCGCAGCTAAATCCATCTTTCAACCACAGAGGTAACCGGGTAACTTCTCTCTCTCAAATTTTGATTCAATGTTCACGCATTAAATGCATTCACGGAGTAAAGGAAACTTTAAATTCCTCCAGCTATTTATTAAAAGGAATGACGATTCAAAGACACGAGACGCCAAAACAGCAGATCCAAATCAAGGATATTATCCGATCCGACGGGTTTACAGTAAGCAAAACTCGAAATGCGTAGACTGTTGAGCCAGTGGAAGAGAAAACTCGAGACGAATCTTTAAATCCAGATCAAAGAACCAAACAGCATCGAGATTTCAAAAAGGAACCAAAATTTGAAAGGCGAGAAAAGAAGTACGAGATTTACATTTATTATGTGCTATGTAAAGGCTTCTTCATTTGGAAAACAAAAATGAAAAAAAAAAACAGGAAGGAAGGTTGGTTGGTTGTTTGCTTAAACGTTAGAGACGATTGCTTCTATTCCCGATCTAAAACAAACTTACTATACAATGGTCTTCTCGTGATTTACAGAAATTTTTCTATTTTTTAAAATATTTGTTTTCCAATTTTTTTAAATAATAATAATAATATCGTTAGGTGGTTATGGATTGGAGAGAGCCGGGAGGTGTCATCTGGCTGGCAGAGATGGAGGGCGAAGAAGGTTTAAATATCTTTGCGATAATTAAGGCGTTGAAACGGGAAATTACAAATTAGGAACTAGGATGAAGTGGGAGCCAACTACTTATGAAGCATTTCAAGAAATTATTAACTTCTTTAAATTTACTTAAAGGGTAAACTATCGAAATGTCTCACTTATTTTTTATATTGTGCACTTTTATTCACCAAATTCAAAAAATTTCAATTTTGATCAATGAGACATTAAATGATGTTGGTTTGATGATATGATATGTTAGTAAAATGGTTTAATTTTTTTTTGGATAAATTTGAAATTTATTCAAAAACTCTAAATCATTTTACAATGGACGCCTATACTCATATTACCCCTTACTCTTATTCTATTTTTTTTAATAATCTAAAGTGATTATAATATAATATATGTTCAAAAAAATCATCCTATTGATAATATATACCCTGAAGATACCACTCTTTTACCATATCCTCTTTTACCATATAGATCAATTGATTTGATATCGTTTATGTATGAGTCTACAGTGCACGTCGCACACCGCAACATACCACTAAAGTGACACACCGAAATACACCTTATCCTTATTATATAAATATTAAAAAGAATAATAGTTTATTGAAAATTAATAATTTATTAAAATTTAATTTTAATTTTAATAGAATTATGATTTTTTATTAAAAATAATAATTAATTTAATAAGTTTAATTTGTTTAGAATTAAAATATCAAACTTATATAATATTAGAGTTCATCCAAGTCAACTAGGGACCACCTTCACCAACCCTTGTCTCACTGAAAAATCATTTTAAACACCATTCACCCCTTTCATGGAGTCGCTTAAAGAGTAAACCGGACTTTCTAGTCACCAAATAATTTCTTCTTAACGAACATATATTTTTTTCCGGTTCAAAAATCAATTCAGTAAATAAAAACACGTTCTCTGTATTTTCATTTGGATAAATTTACCCAACTCTTTAAGAAAAATTGTTAAATAAATAAATGGAGCTAAGACCGTTATTGTTTGTTGTTTTTTAAGAATATTTTTAAATTTTACTTTAAAAAACATTTTAAAAAATATATATGATACTCAAGTAATATGCAAAAGTAATTTTTTTTCGGGTGGAATCATACCATCAACATTGAAGTAAATTTTATACATTATTCAACCATACAATACTCAATCTTCAAACAGAGACACCAATGAATACGTAGCAAACAAATCAAACACCTCCAAAGGAACATGCGACATTTTCAACAGATTTGATCTCAGCATTTTTCATCTCAACCTTAGGGACGGTAACAGTAAGAACCCCGTTCTCCATCGAAGCCTTCACGTCATCCATTTTACATTCTCCGACAACCTAAACCTCCTCGAGAACTTCCCGCTACTCCTCTCCACTCGATGCCACATGTCATTCTTGTTTTCCTTCACGTGCCTCTCTCTACTGATTTGAAGCACCCTATCGTCTTCGATCTCCACCTTCACTTCCTCTTTCTTCAGCCCTGGAAGTTCCGCCTTGAACACACGTGCGTTCGAAGTCTCCTTCCAGTCCACACGACAGTTGACGAAAACGAAATTTTCTCGGAAAAGTTGAGGGAATGATATGAGCTTTGGGGAATTGATTTCCTTGAATGGATCCCATAAATCCATCGAAAATGGGTCGAGAACGCTGTTGCTACGTCGATTGCGGAAGAAGTCAGGAATCACTGCCATTTTTTGAGCGAAAGTCAGTGTTTGGATGCCGAGAAAGTTATTTAACATTTTTTTTTCTGTTTTCGGATCGTTGATGATATATAAATTCTAAATTTGTATTAATAAAATTTGATTTACACATAACAAACAACGTTGAAGCGTTTAGTTAAAGAACACACTGAAACACGTACGATGACGAATATTTACTTTCTGGCAACGGTAACCGGTGTTTAAAATGATTTTTCGGAGAGACAAAATGATTGTCGACGAGGAGTGATGGTGATTACTTATTCATTGGGATGAACCCTATATTTATATAAGCTAAATATTTCAATTTTAAATAATTAAACTTATTAAATTAATTATTATTTTTAATAAAAAATTAAATTAATTTTTAATAAATAAATAATTTTTAAGAAACTGTTACACAATAAATAAACTTTAACTTTTTATTATGTGTTTTAATATATCGTTTTAATAGTATGTTACAGTGTATGACGTGCATAGTAGACTTTTCCCTTTTATTTATGAATTTTCTACGTTTAATATAAAATTTAAAATATGGTTAAAACTTTAACCAAAATCCGGTAGCTACTAACTGCATATACATGAGGAAAATAAGATAAGTAGTTGCAGGCTCTTTAAAACACCTTTAGCGCATTCTTCACTCGTAAGCTCAACCTATATATATATATATATATATTACCGAAGCCATTAGGAAAAAAAAGAAGGAAAACCCATTTCTTGCTCCATGATCAACCATCTTCTCGAATGATTAAACATGGTTCCAAGCAGATAACTTCTTACTGTTATAGACCGTTACGACCACACATATGACGAACAATATCAGAAACAATGCACCATTTGGGATCCTTGTATTATACAATTGCAGTTGAAGGATCAACATCATCAGTGTTGTGCTGATGCATTCGTTTTTGTACGGCTTTCACGGCTACTACTCTGGCAGCATTGGCTGCTTTGTTTGCAGCTGCGATTGCTTTGTGCACTCTCTCATCAATCTTTGCAATGCCGTAAGCTTTCTCCGCAGCTCTCTGCGCTTCCTGTACGCAGCGCAGCATATTATAAGAGAACACAGAATTTATGTGCATTATGCACATTTACATTGAATATGAACACGGAATTCTTAGGAATACACATCAGCTGCTAGTGAAGCCGGTAAATGCCAGATAAATGATATGAAAAATACCTGAACGACATTATCGACTCGAGATTGAGTGACAGCATTGGGAGATCCAAGATAGATGCTTTGTGTGCTATGAACATCAAGAACCCCATTTTGCCAGTGACCAGACTGTGTCTCTCCATTTCTGAAAGTGTATGTGCCAAATCCCTGCCTTTTTCCCTCATGCCAGGCTCCCTCATACTGGTGTCCATTTCCAAATTGATAAACCCCAAAGCCATGCATCTTGTCAGCAAAATACTCTCCTAAATATATGTCCCCATTTCTGCATTTCAATTCATAAAGCTTACCAGTCATTAAAACTGAAATCTACATCAAAAGTATGGTTATATCCCTAACTTTCTCAACGAATGATGACTCAAAAGTTCGGAATAATTTTAATCCAGTTCAATTGAAAAATAATCTGCACACCTCAACACTAGTCTCAATGACAAGTGCATGAATCCCTGGCTCAAATAGCTGGATTCAAGCCCCTTTCACTCAACACACACACACACATATATATACATACATATATGCGTGTGTGCGTGTATAACCCTGATATTATAGTACTCCCCACAAGGCAGCCATTTGAAGAAATCTTGAAGGGATTCATGGCTAAGAAGATTGCAAGGATATGCTCAACCAATGTTATGAAAATGAAGAAACAAATAGATATCATAAAACAAGACCGCTAAAACAGTTAAACTTTAAACAACAACAAATAAACTGCCTAGGATGTTACTGTTAGTAATATACACCAAACATATACCAAGAATATGACTAGAATCTATAGAGCAAAGAACCCTGATCCACTTTTTCACTTACCAAGTTTTAAGCTAATGAAGACTATTTCTCATATGAACTTATTAAATGATTAAAGAGAGATGTGGGTTAGGTGTAAAGGTAAAACTTCACCAGGTCAGAAGTAGTTCACTAATCGAAAATAGATAATCGAATTCGGAACCATCTAAAGACAAGCATAACGCAAGCTTTAACTACCACTACCAAAATCTGTAATTGGAACAAACATCATACATTGATATAAACACAAACAATGCAGACTCCAGAATCCCAAAGTTTCAGTTCTTTCCCGCCATTCGATGATTGAATACATACCAGACAAGGCAACATCAAAATCTAATACTGTTTCTTCACTCAAATCTATCCAAAGAAGAAAGAACAATAATTCACCTGAAATGGTAACGGCCAAGCCCATGTTTTACACCCCACTTGAACTCCCCTACATAGTTGCTGCCATCTGCACCAGTATGCACTCCACATCCATGGCAATGCCCATTAGACCACTCCCCTGCATAAACATCACCAGTAAAAACCTGTACACACCAATTCCATGCCTCAATCCCTGCCTAAATTGACCACGATATCGACTCCCTTTCGCCCATGTTTCCACACCATAACCATCGTATTTCCCATCAATCCAATCCCCCTCATATCTCCCTTTCATGTAGTAATAATAAACCCCACTCCCTGAACAT